ATCCTCTTTGGTGAAAGGCCAGTAGAAGTTGTATCTGTATCCACAGAAGATTTTCACATGCCACTTTCTCTGTCATTGTTAATCCTGACAGCAGAAAACAAAAAACAAGAATGCTCTGGGCTTGTGGAAAAAAGTGCTCACATACACAAAAAAAGAGAGAGAGAGAGAGAGAGAGAGAGAGAAGAAAGAGTAAGTATATTGCTGAACTTCACATAAGAGCAGAGTCAGGCAATTTAAAAGAGTTGTTAGAGGGAGATGCAAGTTAACCCATCGGTACAATCTTATATCACCCTGACTGAAAGGCTGTCACTTCCTTCCCATTACTGCCCAAATCAGGCAGATATGATCTCCATAAGAACAACAGAAATGAACTGTGGAATCTAACCTTTGTCCAGAAAAACAGTTGTACCAGTGAATTTTAAACAAAACCACTCCCTCCCTCTCCTAGCTTCAACACACAGAACAGCAAGGAATGGTTACAGCACCAGCTGGCAGGCAGCAAACTCAGCAGAGTACCAACACGTCCCCTCTCACAGGGCTTCCAGACTAAAAAGGAGACAGACAAACCCAGCTGAAACTCAAGAAGCCATAACCTAATGCAACTTTCTTGCTAATTCCCAGGAGCTTTCCAGGAGACAGGGCAGAGACAGACATGGCCCTTTCCCATGTTACCAGACTTCTGGGCTGAAGACTGTCTATTCATGGTAGACTAGGTCACTGAGCTCTCTCTCTCCCCTCTACCGACATTCAAGCTCTAAAAGCCTGTTAATAAACTAGGCATATTAGCATCTTTGTCAGTGAAGAATGACCAGGCAGCATCCGACCAACTGAAGCCTGCAGAGCCTGGAAACCATCTCCACAGACACATCATGTTTAACAGAAGTTGAACAGGAGTACTCAGATATTCTGTTCTGTATATCCAGAGATTTTCTGTGTGCAAGAAAAGGTATATTATAGGGAAAGAGATTTTTTCTGTGCAAGAAAAGGTATATTATGGGGAAAGATACTTTACTCAAACACTTGCTTCAGCTATTAGTAGTCTGAGAACAAATATGTATTACTTCCAGTGCCTAGAACAGCAAATGAAGGAGAAATTGAGACATTAAGATTTTTTGACCTGAAGAAAAAAGGCCAATTCACATGCTTTCAAAGAAATAACATTCTTTCCCAAGAACTGCCAAAACAGAGGAATGTAAGAGCAGATATAGACATCTAGGGAGTGAGAAAGTTTGAATATAAACTGCTTTAAAAATAATAGCAAATATGTTTTGGTGGGACCTTAAATTCTATTATGCCAGGCCTCTCCCACACCCGCTCCTAAGGCAATCTCAACCAACAAAACCTATAATGCAATGCAGGAGGAAGGCAAATGTAGAAGTAAAGTTCTTAACCAGAAGTCCAACTACCATTAGTAAAATGCTAGATGGAATCAAGCTTAACGGTTTTAAATTGGGCAAAAAGCTTGCAAGTAGATCTATAAAGGAAAAAAGTTAAAGACAGTCAAAATTTACAAGTGTCAGTTCCAGAGAGACTACTTTTAAGACTTAAATGTCAAGCTTTGGCCTGCAAGACTTCAATTGAATATTTTTCATTCAAATAGCATCTACCATAGAGACAAGTTAACTGTTCCACAAATCTACACGCACATTTTTGTGGAAGCTGTTTTTGTAGTTCATATAGATAATATATGCACAGTTCTGTAACGGAAACGGCTTTCAGCAAGTTCTATGATCCCAGCTGAGAACTCTGAGCGATTTACTCACCTTCCAATTATTCTTAAACTTCTATATCTGAAAGTCTGTTAAATCCTTCTCTTCTTCTCCTTCAAGCTGTCTTTTTATTTATGCCCTGGAAAGCCTCTCTAACGGCACACAACTATCAAGAAGTCTGTTAGAGGTCAAATTCCACTTGAAGTGAAAGCCCATGCACCCTGAAAAGCAATGCCCCCCCTGAATATTTGCCAAGGTTTCTTCTATCCACTCAAATGACTTGAGAGCAATGCACATCTCCTCCCAAACCCCTACTATAGACTATCAAACCCTTCAGACCAATAGGTCCCCGCTCCATGGGGGTATATCTGTGCCACACAAGACAACTGCACAGTGCAGCTCAACTGCAAGAAAGGAAAGAATTCAACAACATGAGTCCGATGGTTGGAATAGAGGCAAAGAAAATGGTTCTTTTGTTCACCTCCTGTCACTGACAGATTAAAGTAGAAAAGGAAAGAGTCAAGCACAGGTTTTTAGGGCAGCATAAAGAGCCCATTCATGAGGTTATAAAAAGTCACATGCATTTGCTTGTGTCAGCTTAACAAAGCCACAGTAAGGGGGATTTCTTTAGGACCTATCACACTGCCTGAATTACAAAGGCAGCTGAAACATTAAAATACTAGAAAAGGAGAAAAGATGCCGTCATGAAGGCCAGGCAATCCAGGATGCTACAGAAGGAGCACCTGCTTAGAAGTGCTTTGCCAGCACATACACATAGCACATGTAACCCAGAGAAAGGAAGAAAATTAAAGCTGTAGAAAGGAAGAAAAGATTATGCAACCTGCCTGATTTTTGTGGTGGGAAGAGGATCGGGCAGGTTCCTCCTCCGAGTGGAGTAGAAAGTCAATACACAAGTAGGCAGAGGAAAAGGAATCTCATGAAGGAAATCTCATGGGGCAGATGAGATATATTCTTAAAAAGATGCAAGGATATAAATAAACAGGTATGATCATATATTTGTGTGCTGGCACCAGGAAAAGCAAATAATGCAATTTTATCACAGGACAAAAATAAAAGCTTTTACACTAATGCCTCAGGTCATAAGTCTAATAAATTTTATGCAAGTATCATACCTATTAGGATACTTCTACATGATGATATTCAAGAAAGTGAACAGCATCAGCTCATCATAAACAGAAGCATCTAAAAGCTTATTAGACTATCACGGACATTCTGATGAAGATATTATACAGCTCTTATCCACTGTGCTTCAACATATTAATTCCTGGGTTGTTACTTTTTGCTTCTAAGTGGTTGCATTTGACTAATAAAATACTAATATAGAGGGCATCACCTAAGTCCCTTTATAGAGGCCTCTATTTGGCCTCTATGCCTAGGTACTATTGCCAACTACAGAACAGCAATAACCTTGCATTACTGTTATCTAACAAGAGCCTCTTCAAGACCAGAAGAAAATCGTGCTTTTGAACTAGTAAGTCATTTCTACCAAGACTGTTTCACATAGCCATAATATACAGTAGAGCAAAATGTAAATCCTAGCTCGCACGTCAATGTATTTGACTAACAGCTGTGCTCAGACTCATACAAGACAAATAGCATAATGTGTTTTCCAGATTATTTTGCGACACAGTGCAATATTCTAAATAAAGGCCATTTGGCAAGCGAACATTAGTATGATTGACAGTAGAGTTTTGGGACGCTCCATCTGAAGCATCAAGCATCCAATTTCCTAAGAGGAGAAAAACTGATAATACCACAGTGTAAAAACAAGAAAGCATACAGAGGATACAGGAATAAAGATTAGGCTGAAAAGAAAAAGAAAGAAAAGGTCAGGAAAACAGGAAGCCACATAGGGCAGAGAAAGTCCTTTAAAATAGATGACACCAAACACATAGCTTTAACATACGTACATTTAATCTGACAATCTGCTAGCGCAACTCAAACTTTTATCTGACCTTAGCAGATTCAGCCACTAACACTTTGCACAAGTTATACACACACATTGTGACTTTCCACATAACACAGAGAAAGAGATTGTTTGCATTTCCTACTATTATGATGCTGAGAATGTCCTGTAGAAGTTCATAGCTGTGTACAACTTACAGCAACTTGGCTTCTTAGCCATGAATACCTGTTTTGATTTCTCATTACAAGGACATTTTAAGCTATATTCAGTAAGGGCTCAGACTACTAAAGTTAAGACAGCTTACCAAAGGTTACTGTGTTAGCTGAAATACAGTAACGGTCCATGTGCACATCCAGAACCTGTGGCAAATGCATTACAGCAACAGCCCTCCTCTTCTGCACTGAAGGCTATGCTATATAGTATCAGGATGTTTCTGCTGCTGGCTAAGAACACAGAGCTGTTGTAACTAAGCTGATACAGTAAACTCATTAAGCCATGATAAAGGTAATGGTGAGTATAAGCTGAATGCCTCTTCTGCTTAACTGTGCTGATATCCATCTGTATATATCCTGGCAGAAGCATTAATTACAGTTCTGAAACCCTCCAACCAGAGGGCACTTTTGTCCAACGCTTGGACATTGCCTTCATACAACACCTAATTAAGCTGTGGAATCCCTTCCCGCAACATATTGGGGCTGCTGAAGTTTACAAAGGCTCATGCAGTAAAAATTCAGAAACAGTGCCACTGGCTCGGGAAATCCCTGAACCACCAATTGCTAAAGGCTGGGAGAGATCCTAGGGAAGTAACACAGCATGCTTTCCTGTCCTTATATCCTTTCATACAAGTCTGTTATTGGCTACTATCAGAGACAGGATATTGAGCAATATGATGTTTGGTCTAATCCAGTATGGTCATTCTTCTGATAGGAACGTTAGTAAAAAGATTTTTCTCTCCTGCTCTCCAAGGGAATAGCAACCAGCCAAGGTTCAGATTATATTCAAACTATAGCCAGTGTATCTTCTCCTTCCGCTTATACCTGATTGGCAGCTAGAGCACAAAGATCTTGATATGAATGCTGCCTCTGCAGAAAAGAGCACCACAGTACAAACTCCATTTTCTTTAGGGAGGAAATATAAAACATAAAGCTGGTAAGTTTACACTTATGCCTAGTCTTGCCACCTCAGTTTCCATACATTCAACTGAATATTTCTGACAATTTCCTGGTTTTATTATAATTATTTAGCCACAAGCAGGAAACAGTTGCAGGCTCTCAGTTCACGTTTCTGGAACTTATTTCAAGCCCTGAAGCACTTAAGTCAAAACTCGTTTATCGTAGCAAACTTAATAGATGATCATAACTTACATTTTCCTGGTCAGAAGACAGAGATGGCTCCACTAGAAGAAGCCTCTGCTCAGAGCTGTCCTCTTCAACGTCCGAGTGCGTTGCAGTGCTAGACATGTGTCCTTTCCTGAGCCGCAGACCTGGCTCTGGAGAACCAGCATTATCGAGTTCCGTTAGTTCATTCATGAGATGCTGGGAGCCTTCTCAAACACTCTTGCTTCCTCTTGTGGCTTCGGTTTGGCTGATAATGTGTTGGCTCTGAAAGACAAACAGTTTATGCAACTAAACTAGAATTAAAAAGATTACAAGAGCTGGCTAGAAGAAAAGTATGTCTAAAAGTTATTAAACACCTAGAACTAGCTGTTTAGAAATAGCTAAGATTGCCTTTATATTTATACAGATGGTCCTGTGGGAGTTTGGACAGACTTTTACATTGCCGGACAATGAATCCTCATCTCATGACCACTAACGCTTTTGTATCCTAACACAGGTTAAACATCTGTCTTTGAAAGGTGAAAGCAAGCTCCAGTACAACAATAAATTCACAAAAGCACAAGGGTATTTTACAAGGTTGCAAATACTATGCTAACACCATTAAAAAGTAAACTGTTTATCATAGGCATTCTACAACCTTCATCAATTTTTTCTGGGTACAAGACTCATTTCAAATTGACTGGGCTAGATTTCACTAAAACATTAGGCACTGGTACAGCTGCATGGGTAGTAGTAAGCAAAGAGAGCTCAAGAAACTAACTTCAGACAGGTTGCGAAGAGGGCAGTAGTACACACAATGGTTGTGCTGTTTCCCTTGCTTAAACAAGTGCAAAGTACTATTAGAAATAAAGGCACAGACCCATTGCTAAGGGAAACTAGACCAGATTTAAATGCTATGCCTTCTGTCACAGCAATCAGAAATACATAATTCCCCGAGAAAACCATAAGTCATGTTATCTTCTCAGAAGAGTAACTAAATTTTGCACTTATAACACTGCAAAAAGGATTTGGGGTAAATTTAACTCAAAACGTTAACAATTAAACTTCCAGAAAAATAACTGATGGCAACCTATCAATCTGAGCCCTCATCCAAGAGTATCATTGGTTGTCAATTTCTCCTGCACATCACTGTGTGATGGTCACTTCAATATTCAGCCAAGAGACACTTTGATACCTGTTTTCTTGGGAGACAGAATAACCAGAATGGCAGAAACAATCAGAATGAGTTAGCACTCAAGTGAGACTGCAGAATCACTTTGAATGAGAATTTATTCATTTGTACTAAACACTTCCTATCATTCTATTATTGTAGCATCTAAGCACTTAAATATGACTAACAAGCAACAATAAGATAACCCACCCAATAGGTTTTAACTTGTCGGAGCGCATAATTAGATTAGAATCTTAGTACCCAATAAAAGATGCAGAACTTTGCCAATATCAGGTCCTCATTTTATATTTTTATCTTACCATCCTCATTTCAGTACAGTACATTGTATCCAAATTGAAGCTGTAGCTAAAGCCAAGAAAAGGCCCAGTTAGCAAAGCAGCTGTTTGTAAACAGTCACAAACACACACGCACCCCATCCGATATTCCACATATGCTCGTTTACAACATTTCAAACAGATATGTGACAGTTAAGTCCACAGATTGTTCAATTTGCATTAGCCATTAAACCAGCAAGTTTTACTGGTTTTTCCTTCTACCAGCTTGACGCAATAGAGCTGCCCCTGCCTACTGCCCTAACTGCCATATTGCCTAAGAGCATGTCCTTACATCACCTAAATCTATGACATTATGGGAGTGACGCTCAAAGACAAAGACACACGGAGTCAACAGAAAAGGCTTAACCACATTTGGACTCATACAGGGCCAAAACGCTTGCGAAAGATTCTTCTAATACAAGAAGATACAAGAATGCCAAGAGACTTCTCAAAATAGGCCTCGAAGATTTATTTGACTAGCACTTGTTGCCAAGCAATCACCAAGGTTAAAAAAAGACATTTCATCTGCAGCAAATTAATTTTAATTCAGCAGTACAGATGAACTTCAGAACTCCTCATAAGTAGAATTCATTGTGTCTCGAATTTATGGTGGATTTGCTCAACAAGCCAAGAAGTTTCCATGTCATCATTTGTACAGGATCATTTCAGTGTGAAATCTGCTCATCCCTAACGAGCGTGCAAAGTTAGTTAGCGGATAGTCCAAAAGTATTGCTGCTACATTTTAGCTCCTTTAAGTGGACTGCAACAGCAAACAAATACGTACCTGAATGCAAAAAGGAGCTGCCAACAGAAATCTGCTAATAGCCCAAACTATTTGTTCATGAAAGAAAGCAGAGAGAAAGCAGTCTGAAACTACAAGTGGGAAGAGGAGAGATGGTCTTTAACTTCTGTGAAAGTTTTCTACAAGTCCATAGTTCACTGAAGGGTTCAAAAGCTGAGGATTACTTTTTCCTAAGACAGGAAGTCTACACATGGCCAGCAGCATCTGGCTAGATGATCACAGTTAAAACGCTGTAAATAGTGTAAATAGAGGCCTACTGCCCCATTCCGTCTTTAAGATTAGGCAGTTAATGAAATCTAAAACTGAAAATTGGAAGGGTATAGAACACTTGTATTGTTGGAGAGATTGCTTTATATTTCAATTAAATTATAAATCTCAAGTTTAAGGCCTTTAACTTTTTTGCAGCATGCAACAACCGATAAGCTTTCATTAAAGTTAGCTGCCATTGAGAAAGAAAGTTGCCACATACAACCTAAACTCCTCTTAATGATTTTAGATCTAGTAAGGACATCCGCATCTAGACCAACCAGCGAGTTCCTTCTGTGTTTTAAATCAGCTGAGAAAAGTATCTACAGAGTTTGATGTTTGTTCAGGGGTTTTGGGTTTTGTTGTTTTTCCTTTAAATCCAGAACTTCTAAAGGCTAAGCCAGCTTTTAGATAGGACTTTTCAGTTTAACACTAGGGCAAGTTCCCAACACAGCCCATAACAAACAGTTAGTACTCCATTAGTCTGTTGGCTCTACCTGCTGCTGCCATCATGCAACCAACAAGAGCCCATACGGCTATCAGTCAACTGCTCACCCTACCCCACTTCAGGAGCTGTCATCCCCACAGCAAGGAGAATCAGTACTAGTTTCAGGCTCCATCTTATTTCTGAAAACAGAAACAGGAGAAAGCAAAACTATTTCAGTAGTTCCCTGCTGCTATGCTGTTACATATATTTAAGGGCATTTAAATACTTATTCTTTCCTCATCAGCTTGGGGAGTAAAATAAACTTACTAAACACCACATGACGATGCTTTGCTGTTCTTTGTAAAATATTCCTGGCTATTCTCACAATAAGAGCTTGGAATGGTTTACAAGCTTTCCCCAGGGTAAGTGACTGGTTTTTTACCTAAGCTGAACAAGCACCACATGGTAGCAAAGCAAAGAAAGCACTTGAATTTAACTACAAACTCTATCCTTAAGGGGATCTGCAACTCCTCTCTTAAGAGAGAGAGCACAGTCAAGGGTGATCAGACTGCTTCCCGTGATCCCTAAGCAAACCAGTCTCTCCAGCATTCAACTCTTCCCAGTATGTTCCTCCTATAAGCAGCACTGAATCATCCCTTCAAAGCTATTTCATTCCATCTCTAGCTGCTATTTGGAAGAAGAACGAAAATGTCACCTTCCCTCTACTCCCCTCTCATCAGTCAACAGCCTTTCTGATAGAGGCTTTCCTGTTCAGGAAGGTAATGACATCCACTGTATGTTCCTTTCTTGCTAACCCTCTTCAAAGCATCCTTAAACTAGCAGGTGCAGTGTACAGATAAAACTAATCTTCACAAGATTACTTCATTCTCATCAACACAGCTTAGTTATCAAAAGAACCAAAGGTCACCATAAAAGTTTCAGGCTATATGATTTCTCAAAACATTTGTTCATCTTTAAAAAAGACGACCTTGAGTGCCTGAAACCCTCATAAGAGTTACTAACTCAGCCTACAAATTTTGTCTCACCTATGCCTATGTGCCATCACAGCTGCAACAGCATCACTAGTGGCTTAGCTACATCCACACCAGGGTCAGTCAAATGGCACAGCTATTTGGCCAATAAACCCCCTATGGATTCAACAGCTTTACCAAGTCAGAGTTGTTTAGATTAGCCTTATTAACAAAATAGGTGGAACTGCGTGGCCAGAACTGTTAGCATAGCTACAAATGGCAAAGTACTTCCTGTATTCTCTATGGGCCAATTGTTCATGACAAGAACATAGCTAATATGGGATGAAGGAGGCAAATTTTGCCTGTAAAAGTGATGATTCTGGCTGCCTTGACCAAAATAAGGTATACTAAGCAAAACAGCTTTTTGGCACATTGTATGCATACTATTTTTTGCTAGAGAGCTTCTGTCACAAGTAGCTTCCCCCCCCCCCAATGATGTAGTCACACCAACAACATTCAATAAGATATTATTACATGACAGCTTAAATTACTCTCAGGTGACACTACCATGAACATATCCTTGCCCAAGCCATCCCTCTCTCCCTCCCTAGCACCAGTACTGGTGCTCATTTGACTTCATCCACAGTGAGCTGATTGAAAATAATAAATTAGCTCTTCTTCTTCTTCTTCCACTTTCTGCCAGTTTGGCATCCTAACCCACTTACTGGCAAAATTAGGCAAATATCAATGTCAATATAAGGCAGGAAAATGGGAGCATACAGTTTGTGCAAGTGGGAAGGGGAAGAGGAAGACAGAAAGCAGAAGGACTAAGTGCTGTATCACATTAGTTAGACTGTTGCTGAATGCCACCCACAGACATGGCGTTAATCCATGCTGGGTCACGAATTAACTACATGGGGTATCAACTGGGTGGCTGCTTTCTTCATTATATATAGAGCAAAGCAGAAGAGAGAAGAAAAAATTTGGTATGTTTAAGTAGATTTTTTGAATTGCCCCTACGTTGGAAGACCACAGCTAAAAAGTTAACAAAACAGCAACATCAAAAGATCCAGGAGTGTAAGTTGAAATAAGGGATTTTTATCCTTGATTTTTAAAATTAAGTCTCCTAATGATTGAGCCATGTCTTTTTAAATTAAGGTGTTAAACATCCACAGCCTTCCAAATACTATCAAAAGGTACACAGCCAAAAGTAAAGCAAATAGGGGTGTGCAAGCACGCGGCAGGGGGAAGAATCTCAGTAAACCTCATGCTTTCTTAAGGTACCCTGAAGGAAAAGTATGAATCAAGCTGTAAAAATTCTTCAGAGGTCATC